TATTTTTTTTTATTCAGTGTTTGAGGATTGAACCTAAAGCCCGGTTCCTGCATTCTCTTGCTGATCTGTATCCTCAGGCCCACTGTTTGGTTTCTGATAGCCCTTCGTTACATCTTCATGAATATTTAATTTAGTTGAACAGATGCAATATATCTCTGGATCCTTCTGACAATGAGTTTAATGATTGTTTCAAAATTTGTCCTGATTTTGGTGAAAAATTTATTTTATGAAATTAATTCAAGAAGGACTTCCTGCTTTCCTCTTCCTTATAGTACTCTATCTATCCTATATGGTAATTTTACTGCTTTGTCATGTGGGGGATCCAGTTTTCACGAAAGCGCGTTTCCTGTCCTTATGGAACCAGAAATAGGCACTCAGGTGCCTATATATGGCCTGGTCTTCATTAATGCCATACCCAAATTGCTTATGTGGTGTCAACTAGACTTTTCTTACCTTTTTCATAGAAACTTGAACATAAGGACATCTGATATGCTAGCTACTCCTTGTTCTGGTTAAGCCTTATTTGCTAAAAAGTTTAAAGTAGAATTACCCGTGGACAGTTTAGGAAGGTTGAAATTCCTGAATAGATGTATTGGAAGGAATTCAAATACAGATGCTCTATGACTTATGATGAGCTATGTCCCTGTACACCCACTGCAAGCTGAAACTGAAAGCATCCTAAGCCCAAACTGTGTTTAATGCCCTCAGCCTGCTGACATGATAGTTTAGCAACAGTGGGTAGTACACACTGTAGTGTCAGTTCCTCACTGTTAGCATGTTATGTTAGACTAGGATTTGTGGCTTGGTGCCACTGTCCAGGATCTTGATGGTGGATCTTACTGCATAAAACTAGTCCAGGAGAAAAATCAAAATTCAAAGTGCAGTTTCTCCTGAATGGATACCACATGCATGCCATTGTAAAGCCAAAAAATCTCGAGTTGAATGTCAGGGATCATCAGGGACTGTGCAGAGGGAAAGTACCAGCAAACCTTCAACCTGTCTCATGGCAGGAACTGCAGGGAGATGCAACAAGGAGGCTTTCTGTCAGAAATAATGCTGGCTAGGTCAGGGAGATCTAAAATTTCACTGCTGCTATGCATCAAAATGAATTCGAGATGCATTCAAGAGGTAGCAGAATGGAGTAAAACACAGAGTAAAGTGAAATAAAAGTTTCTGTTTTCCTCCATCCGAATACATTACTAAGTATTGAAGTAACAGAAAAATCATAAAAATTCACCAGTTTGGGGACATAAAAAAGAAAAGAGTAACAAAATTTAAAAGGCAAACATCCTTTGGATGTATTTTCTGTGAAAGTGACAAAGTGTGCTCATAACGTTTCATGCCTGCACGGTGCCTTAGGAGTTATTGTGGTTAAATTTCTTCTTAGAGGATCTGCAGGATACTAGCTGCCACCGGACTCTGGGATTATGGCTAAATTTATATAAGAAGGCAATCAGCATACCAGTTGAGAGCATAGTCTGGCTTCCTTTAGGTCCAGGTTTGGGTTCAGCATTCCTATTCCAGGAATTTTAATTTTTCTTCTGGACTAGTTTTATGCTACCTCCGAGACACTCATTTTCAGTTTCTTTATCTGTGCAAAGGAGGAAAATAACAATGGCAACCTCACAAGGTGAGAATTGGAGTAAGGTCTTCCAACAATGTCTGCTACAGAACTAGAGTTCAACAGGTGGAATTGATTTATCATTTTCATGTTCGACATGTTCATTGTTAGTCATTATGACCATCACTACTGTCATGCTCACCATCGTCACCACCGTCATCACCACCAATCACCATCATCACATGTTATTACCATCTTCCTCATACTTATCAACTATCCTCGCATCGGTCCTTATCACTACCGTCACCACCATCATCATCATCATGTTATTGTCATGCCTTTCGCCAGCCACTTCCTCCATCATCAGTCATAGCCATTGTTGGAGTTCTACCTTCATCATGACTCACCATTACCATCACCATCTTACTCACTGCCTTTGGACCCAGAGCCTCATTTTTTCCAGCACCCGAAGCCTTTTAACCTCTTCGGGGGTGTTCAGAGAAGCAGTCCCACCTGAGGTAAAGATGGGGTTAAGTGAGGGCAGGTCACACACCCCAGCCTTTGTGTTTCCCTGGCTTCCATTATTCATCAGTTGCTTTCCTGACCTGGCCCTCTTCACTACTGTTCTCATCACTCCATCAAGTCCCAGGACATCATGTAGCCATGAGAAAGCTAGAAAACATTTCTCACTCACAGTATCCTCATTTTTAATTTGGGGTAATAATACCTTTGGCTTCATGATTGTGAGGAGGACTTTAAAAAAATACATAATTCTTAGAATTAGCTTAGTGGCAGAAAGTTCCCCAAAACTCCAATTGAGAGAAGGAGGCTTGCTCAATGTCATATCTTATTGAATCAAGGAAGGCCTATGGGAACCCAGGTTCTGACTATTGTTAGATTTATGGCCTACTCTTGTGTTAAATATGGAAAGACAGGCTGTTGCTTGAATCTTCAATGTGTAGCCCAGTTCCCTCTGATCTCCGTCTTCATTCACTTCTGAAGGTCCTAGACTGGCTTTTATTTATTTACCCAATGGTGATAGCTTTTGATTTTCCACATTAGCTTTCTTTTTTCTTCCTCCTTCCTTCCTTTTTCTTGTTCAAATTACTTATGACCATTTTAAAAATACATAATTTAAAGAACCAAATGTGACACCCCTCCCCCAAATGACAGTTGGCAAAAACCACTAAAAATATGTTAACTTTTAATTTTATGTGTATACATTTTTTTTACCCCTAAAAGAAATAATAAAAAGAATTATACTTGCAAAACATGTAGTATAGGTCTTAAAGCAAGCAATCAACTTACGTCAGCCAGATGCCTTTGACAGCACCCAAGAAGGTTCAGACCCCTGGGTTCCCTTTCCTGAACATACCTACCTTGTGTCTGAACTTTATATGTATGTAGGGTCTGGCTTGGATGTGGCTCACCCTTTTAGTAAGCAATTACTTGTGTGAAAAGGCAATTCGAAGGATATTCTCTTTTTTCTTCCAAACAGCATGCTTCTGCCTCAACGTCTGATGGTGAAGCAGACCTCCTCTGGAAAAGCAAGTCTGTCTCTTGTGCAGTTCCTCCCCAAACCCCTCCCACCCTCGCCATATGCTTCCCCCCCTCCCTCAGCTAATTCCCATCTTTTGGGTGCCATACGGTTTGGCAGAATCTTGGCATGGGGCTCTGAGATCTGCAATTATACTGGGTGTGGCACCTGACCACTCTCCCTGTCTATCCCACTTTATTGTCTATGGAAATATGGATGTGCCTGGAAATAGGCGTTTAGATTTGTTCCTCTCATGGTTAGAACCAATTGCACCTCACTGACACTGACACACTCTTGTTGATGGAAAGGCTGCATTTCAATTGGAAGAAGTGTATTGAGAAGGTATTCTGAGCATGTGTTCTCAAATGATGTTATTCTTTTGTGGCTGTGATTCAGGACAAACTGTTTCAGTAGGCACTGCATCGTGCATCCTGTGAGTGTGCTTGTCTCTGCTCTCAACACGGTGCATCAGGGATCAACGGGCACCCCTGCATTATCTGACTTGGGACTCATAATTGCATCAGGCTCGACCCTCTGATGGAAAACTCCAGGTCAGTCAGGAAATGCTGTAGAAAGGCCCCAACATCAGCTGATCTCTGGTTTTTCTAACCTTTACCTTCATTTGCAATTCGCCCTGGGGCTCCATGGCATTATTCTCCTGTGGGATCTCTCTCTTTCTTGGGCTGACCATGATTGAGTAAACTCCAGCTCTTTTCTCCTTGGGAAGGAATAAACCTTTGGCCCATATACAGGCTTCACTAGGGAGCGGTCACTCCCTGATGTCTTCTCTGCATCCACTAACCCACTTGCTATTTGTTGTTAGCCAAATGTTGGGTCTATGCAGTGGCCAGGAACTAGTCCACCCAACCCACGCAGGTCTTTATCCATCCCAGCCTTCCTTAACTCACTCAAGAAACACTGCATTCCTGTTCTCAGAAAGGTTCCCCTCTGGACCTGGAAAAAGAGATGGCAAAATAAAGGGATGATTATGTAAGTACAGGGTGGAGACTACATTTGAAGGAGGCATAAAATGCTATGAAAACAGAGGTATTTGGACCTGGGAATTACGGAGAGAGAGGAGGGGCACATTTCCTGGAAAGCACACTCATGGGACAGAGTCTCTCAGTTTACTGCTCTGTCATCTCCATCTCCACTGGTTTTGCCTTGTACTTAATTGGTTATTGTACCAGTGTCCTGCCTTTGTATTGTACCCTGTGTATGGGTACTTTCCCGAACTTGTGTCTTAGTGACTTTTCTATTGTCATGAAGAGGCACCATGGCCAAGTCAACTTATAAAATAAAGAATTTAATTGAAGGCTTACAGTTACAGAGGGATCAGATATAAGCTCTCAGCTACTGCTTCAATCCCATAGCTGCCTGTCTGCTGCCACGCTCCCCACCCTGATAGTCAAGGGCTCACCCCTTGTGACTCTTCAAGGTAGTTGTTCTGGGAATCGAGTTTCAATTCCTACATAATATCTCTTGTGGAAATATTAGCTTGTCAAGGATCAAAACAGATCCATTTGGGGAGTTTTAAACATTTGATTTAAATTAAACTTTCAATCTCTTATCCAATTTTAAGTTTGCCTTTTAATTCCCAGCTTGGGGGATGGGGTGGCATGCATGGACTCAGACTCAGCTTCCTGCCTTGGGAAGAGCATACAGCCTGTTGTTCTCAGTCAGCCCTCTGTGTCTTCCTTCTCCTGGTTCACCTGCTACCTCTAAATGGCAGGGAGGAGTGGAAGGGGGGCTGTGCCGACAGCTGCTAGTGTAACTGGGCCAGAGATGCCATGGCAGATGTCCAGCTGCTCAGTGAGAGTCTCAGGGCCCTTCAAGCTGTGAACTCTATGACACAGAATAGGTCCCAACATGGATGATACATTCTCTACTGGCTACCACTGGTACCCTCTCAGTGTCTGCTTTCGGGAAATCTCTCCGGATCTGCTGCAGGAATCTCTCCAGTCTGCAGTCAATCCTCCTACATGGGGGGTCTTTCCATGATGGCTTTGGCGTAGCCATGCCTAAAGTCCATCTAACCCACAGTAAGTTTCTGTGTAGCTGAGTCCTCAAGAGGATGGTGCTTCTGGGAGGGTCCACCTCAGAAAGCAAGGAGCTCACTGGTAAGAGGAAGCTTATGGAAACCTGAACTGACAGGTCGAACAACTAAGGTGCTGGCATTTCTCACTAAACCCATGCACCTGCTGCTAGTGCAGCCACAGTCCTATTTGCCAGGATCTTGGGAGTCTCCTGGCATATTTTGAGTTTTAGGACTTATACAGAAACCAGAAAAAAAAAGTACAAATCAAATGGAAAGGTAGAATCATGTGGCACCTATTGCCTAGGGTAGACCATAACTATGTGATAATGATAGGACAGAGACAAGAGCTGCTTAGAATGATGGGTGCATGAGTGCTGCATTTGCTCTGTGCCTTAGCCTCAGCCTGTGATGACAGGGAATGCACGCACATATGTGTATTGAACATGCAAGTGTGTGTGTGTGTGTGTGTGTGTGTGTGTGTGTGTGTCTGTGTCTGTGTGTCTGTGTGTGTATGTGTGTGCAAGTGCACCTGTAGTTGGAACATGCATTCAAGAGTTAGCACACTTTGAGGAACACTGTGAGTGGTGATAGTGTCATTACATAAAAGAACCTTCTTGGAAGAGGATTTGATTCTGTGAGGTGTGTATGTGAGTGTAAGGGATGGGGTGGGGGGGAGAAGGTAGAGAGAAAGAAAAAGAGAAAGAGGAAGGAAGAGAAAGAACATGGGAGAAAGAGAAACAGGAAGGGAAAAAGAAAAGGAAAGAGGAAGTGAGAGAAAGAGAAAGAAAGGAACAGAAAGGGAAAGAGGAAGGGAGAGAAAGAGAAAGAGAAAGCACAAAAAGAGATAATGAGAGGAAGAAAAAGCAAAAGAGAAAGGAAGAAAACAGAGAGAAAGGGAAAGAGCAAGTGAAAAGAACAGAAAGGAAGAGAAAGAAGACCAGAAATGAAGAGACAGAAGAGAGAAAAGGAAAAGAGGGAGGGAGAGAGGAAGGGAGGAAGGGATACTGAGAAAAGCTGGAGAGAACTTTCGCTGAGCGAGGGATCCTAGCCTGGCCTCCTGTGTGCCTTTATGGGGCTCACACTATGTCCTAAGAGACACAACTAATACAAGGACCTTAATGCCAATTGCTTCAGTGGATCAGCAGACAGGAGCTGTCTGGAGGAGCTGGTGCCTAGGCCGGGCTGAGGATCAAAGAACTAGGGAAGGGCTGCTTGGGAGGAGCTACAGCCACGAGCAATGGTGCTGTAGTTGATGGCTATGAGCTTGCTTCCTTGCTTCCTTGAAACTTTAATGATATCCAAGCCACCTGCTTCCTTAGAGAGTCCTGGCCTTCCTGGGTAGCCGCCAGTGAGCTTGCTCAATGTCATAGCCTGCCCCTTGCCACTTTTTCCCACCCAGCTGCTCAGTCAGCCTTCCCAGTGGTACCTTCGTCCTTCCCCTGCACCTGCAAGGAAGGTGTGCTAGGTGGCTGGAAGGCATGGGCAGAGAAATTTCTGGATGTCCTGAGTCAGTACATTTTGCCTCCTCCTGTGCTGGCCTCATACCCCTGTAGCCCCATGAAGAATGCTGAACAAGGACAGGACAAGGACAGAAGCCACAGAGGGAGCCAGGGTTTGATCTTGACTTCATCATTTCCTGGTAAAGCCCCTAACTTTTGAGTCCAGGTTCCACTTAGACCCAAGGTGATTGTAAGCCTAGCATGAGGTGACTATTAAGTAGCTGCTAACAAGGCCCCAAGACACTGGAATTCAATGCTATAAGAATTGTGTTTGCAAACTAAGAAACATCAAGAACGTATCTGGCATTGTCACGTGCCTCTTATTGGTGCCTCTAACCTTTCCTGAAGACAATAATCTTCAGGATGAAGGTAGAACTTTTATAAGAAAATACATATTTTAAAGGCAGGGTGGCGCAGTTCCTGAGGGGCAGAAGTAGGCGGACATCTGTGAGTTCAAGGCCAGCCCAATCTACATAATGAGTTCCAGGACACCCAGGGCTATGTAGAGAGACCCTGCCTCAACAACAACAACAACAACAACAACAACAACAACCAAAAACCAAGAAAGAAAGTAACAGGGTTTTGGGTTCCTTTTTAGAAGTAGTGGGTTTTTTTGTTTTTTTGTTTTTTTTTTTTTGTTTTTAGGGGGTGTTAAGGTGTGGGAACAAGCTGCTAGCAAGTGACCATAAGAATCCTGTTGGAAGGTCTGGGGCACAGGACTGTGTGACACTTGTCAGGCTCAGGCGTTGGGGATCCAGACGAGGGAAGAAGGGTGAGGGTAGGAAAAAGAGGCATTCAGTAATTTACTAGGCGAGAGGCTAGAGCCTTCTGTCAAATACTGGGTCACTTGGCTGTCGCTATTAGTCCTGGCTGTGAATCAGTCAGGAGCCTTCCCACGAGGCTGCTCTTCTCCTTGAAGATTAATGTCTGTCTTCAGCTAATGTCGTTGAGGAGACAGTCAGAGTGCTGAAAGTGACAACAAGGAAACGTCTAGAATTAGCCACTGCTGGGATACTAGGGACAAAGTGTGGGGAGGGGCAAAGTCCTTTTGGGGAGGTTGGACATCACTTGATACCGAATGACAGTTTGCCTACCGCTCTTTGTCCCTGGTGGCTATTGGGCCTGTCACTTCTGAGGAATTCCTGGATGGCCATGCAGAGCAGTCTCAGGGCAGGCTACTAAGTCCATGAGGATGAGACCTCTGTTCACAGATCCCTTTGCTACCAGAGTCTGTCTGGGTACCTACATTCATGTGCATGCTCTGTCTGTCTATCTGTCTGTCTGTCTGTCTGTCTGTCTGTCTGTCTGTCGACACAATGTCACTATGTGTCTTAGGCTAGCTTTGAATTCACTTTGTAGCCTAGGCTGGCTTTGAACTGACAGAAATCCTCCTGCCTCAACTCCCTGAAAGCTGGAAGCACAGGCCTGTGCCAGCATGCTTTGGTTAGAAAGGATGTCTGCTGTACCCAGGTCTATGCTATTTCCAGTTGTCTTTTGCTGTGTGTCTGAGCAATCGGGCCTGTAGTATGATGGTACCACGTGGTAGAAGAATCCAGACTCTTGACACCAGTATGAAGAACTTTGCAGACCGGTATGGGTCTGGGACACTGGAGAGGATTGCATCACTGAGAGAATAGCATTTTTACTATGGTCAGTCATCCCTACAGAGCAGTGATCCTGTGCTGATGTCCTTTGTCCACCTCACTTTCTCTGTCCCCATAGCTGGGACAGGGCCTGGGTTTGAGTAGATGGTTAGGTTATTAGGAATCACAAATATTGGCTGTCAGAGTGTGGCTGGTGACCTCTGCCCTTGGAGAAAGTGGTCAATTTATAAAAGCATAGGTTAGGAGCCAGGTGCACGTGGTCTTAAACCTTCAATCTCATACTGATTAGCTGTTAGGACTGGGCCTTGAAGAGTCCCAGCCACCCCATCTGTATAAAGGGCCAGAACCTCCTCTTCTGCTATTGAGGATCAAATACATTTTCAAAATAACGTGTAGCTTGGTTCTTACTCCTGACTGTCCCCACCTCCATTCACAGGTTATTTTGTGCATGGAAACAGAATTTTATTCTGCTTTTGGCCTTTCTTATGGCTAGAGAAGAATTTGATATTACAGAAGTTTCTCAAGAACATTGAGCCTAGACATTAATCAGACCTCAGGGCCCACTCTGCCCCTTGGTCTGTCCCTGTCTGGGCCACTCTTCATGTGTTTCTTGCTACCCAGATCAGTTTATAGCTTTCCTCTGTGGGAAGTCCCCTAACCTAGAGACAGACAGAATGAACCCAAGTCTCCAGTACTTGGGAAAAAAACTTCCTCCCTCTATTACAGATAAGCTATGATCTGCCACTAGCCTCTAGATGCCACCTAGCCCCTAAATGCTACCTAGCCATAGATACCACCTAGCCTTAGATGCCACCTAGCTCTAGATACCACCTAGCCAAGATGCTACTAGCTTTTAGATGCCACGTTAGCCTTAGATGACATCCAGCCCTAGATGCTACCTAGGCCCCAAATGCCACCTAACCCTAGATGTTACCTAGCTCTTAGATGCCACCTAGCCCTCAGATGCCAACTAGCCTTGGAATGCCATAGCCCCTAGATGTCACCTAGCCCCTAGTGGCTAACTAGCTCTTAGGTGCCACCAAGATCCCAGATGTGGTAGTAAGTTATCTCCAAAATTGCCTGATGTGCATCACCTGGGAGTTTGTTCCGAATCCAGATTCCCCCAGCACTGACAGTACTTTCTGATACCTCCAAAATTAATGAATAGCTAGCAGCTGGAGGTCAGGAGTCCACTATATGCTGATGTAGTCCCCAGCAAAGGATGAATTGCCAAATCCTTTCTTTCCCTATGGGCTGGCTTTTTAGATGCCAGTGATAGCAGGTGTCACAGCTTACATTCTACTTGCAGGAACTGGGCTAAGTGCTTGGCTGGAGGCTGTGACCCAGGTGCTGTTATAAGTCTCATTACAGAGGAGGCTCAGAGGGGGCAAGTAAGTTCTTTAAGAACACACAGCTAGTGGGGAAGGGGCCCTGGGATTTGAACCTAGCTACCTGACTCTAGCCCTGGAGATATCTACTACAGTGCTTCCTGCTTCTCAGCAGCAAAGACAGCAGAGGGTTTTCACTGGAGAATTGTAGTAGTTGTAATTTGAAATGATACTTTGTAGACAATGCAGAATGCTGAGGGCAGGGAGACCCGCCAGAGGACCAAGAGAACATAGATAGTCTATATTAGAGTGACAGCTAGGCCCAGACTGGAATGTGAAGGAGAGCACAGCCCCTTCTAGCCTCACAGTCCAGGCATACTCTATGATTTGTTGTTTTCATATCCACAGGGACCTGCTTGTCAGGCTGACACATTGGCGACCCTGCAAGCTGCTGCCATTTGGCAGCTTGTGGGGCTGGCTCCTGGTTATGGATACAGTGAGTAGTCTTTTCAGCATTGGGCTTGCATTAACACGCCCTTCCCTTAACAACATGCTTGAGGTTTAGATGGGCTGTCATTATCATGTTCCTTTATGGGCTCTCTATAGCCTTTCACTGGTGTTGTCCTCAAGTCCCCATCCTCACTTTGGCTTACATTTTATGCCATTTAATCCATCACAGTTGCCTTCCTCACTCTGTTCCAGTTTGCTCCATCCCAGAAATTCTTTCCCTTGAGTGGCTGCAGATTGATGTGTTAGAAAGAGCCAGATATATAGAATCTGAAAAATCCCCAGTGTTCATCCATATCACCCTTTCCATGTCTCAAGGAATACTTTAGAGGGCAGAAAGAGTGAGAGAGCCGACAATGTGTCTAAGGGGCACATCAATGCTGCCATTGGTGAACCCACAGTAGCTGCTGTTGCCTGTGTGGCATCTGTACAAGACTGAACACATGAGAACTGAGTCATAGATGGGGGGGACTCACAGGCCCCCACTCCATACACCAGAACTAATGATGTTGGAGAGCTGCTTGAAGTGAAGAAGTCATTGTCTTTAGTGATGCAGCCACAGATGAGTTACTTAAGCTGTGGTGGATAGCTTCACATTCATGCTCACAGCATCGACCCTGGTTAAACCCAGTGGCTCACAGAACAAAATCAAAACAAGAAGACATGAAAGTAGGATAGGGGAAATGGGGATTGGTGGGAGTCGGAGGAGGGTAAAAGTGTAGAGAGGACCAGTAAAAGAGCTTAGTACTGGGTAAGGGCTTCTGAGGCCAAGCCTAGACCTGAGTGTTATTGCCTCATGGTGGAAGTGAGAGAACCAATTCCTACACGCTGTTCTCTGACTTTCACATGTGCACTGTGTCATTAGCATACCTATACATAATGAATGAATTAATGAATGAATGAATGAGCAAATGTTTAAAACAGGGAAGATGAAGGGTCAAGTGTGACCAGGGTGTATCACGGGCATATATGGAATTGTCAAAGAGTTAAGTGATACTAACCCCAAGTGCCCTTGATCATTTACTAGATGGAGCCTTAGTCTTCTTGTCTGTAAAGTGGGAATGACTGACTTGGAAGAGCTGTTAAGATTGAGAGGGATGTATACAAAGGGCACGGCATTAGAAAAGGGTTCATTGGCTCTGCTGAGCACTGATATTCAGGTTTGTCTCCATTTGTAATCTACTCCTCTGATCTCGAAGCTCCCTCTCTCTGCCCTTGGTAGTGCCCCTTAACAGAAGGCACCAAAATATAGAACAGGCCCAGGCATCGCTGGTCATGTAGGGCCTGACATAAATCACCTGGCCAAAGGGACACATTGCATCAATTCCTCTTTCCTAGTCTAGTCAAAGTGGGGTTTTCCTAATGCCATTCAAATAGTGTCACTACTGCTCAGGAGGACAGACACATTCAAGAGGTAGCAATAACCTCTGATTTTTAAAAATTAACTATTGTAGATCTGGGTATTGTGGCTGTCTCACACCTGTAATCCCAGAATCAGGGAGGCTGAGGCAGGAAGATTGCCATGAGTTTGAAGCTAACTTGGACTACATGCTGAGTTCCAGAAAGCCTGGGCTACAGAATGAGATCCCATTTCAAAAAAAGCTAAGAAAAATTAATTTAATTATAGCAGTATGTTCTTCAGGTAAAGGAATTGTCTAGTGATTGGCTAGTTGTGTCAGTCAAATCACTTGAGACCAAAATTAGTAGCTTCATGGGGAGGTGTCTTTACATTTGCAAGTTGGGTTTGAAGAGTGATTTGAGTTTTCTTGAGCATAAGAATAACCCAGAAAGCATGTGGAAGCGTTGGTTTCTTACCCTTGTCTACAGAAGATGACTCAATCCCCAGGAGATTCTTATCAGGCAACTTGGAAAAACACTGACTTTGTGTTTCTGGGAAAAAAATTGATAGCTGTATTAGGATTCTCTCTTCTTTCCACATAGCAGTTGATTTAAAAGTGAGCAAGTTTAGTCTATAGAACACATCTGTGTGAGGGTGTGGCAATATACAAGCATGCATATGTGTTTCTGGATGTATTCAACGTGTGCATGTCTGTGTGTACGTGTATGTATGTGTATGTGGTGTGTGGATGTAGGGATGTGTGTGTGTGTATGTAGGTATGTGTGTATATGTACACACACAAATGTGTGTGTGTGCTTGCTTGTGTGTGTGTATTTGCACACTGTAAAAGTTAAGACACTTTTTACTGTAGGTCAGAATAACAAATTTAGGATATTGGGTTATGAAGTTAATTCAGTCCCTAGAGTCTTCCTGTTTATTCTTTACTTAGGAAAACAAAAAAGGAAGATGAACTCCCTTGCTTTTTTCTCTCATTCCCCAGAAGGCTTTGCTCAAAGAAACAATTCCTTGTATCTACAGAAGAAGTGGCTATTAGAAGCTAGATTACCATTTCAATTGCTGCTGACATTGAGGGGTTTTCAAACCATTTCAGCAGGGCTGATTTGAAGATCCAGGCTAAAAGCAGGCATTGTAGTGGGTGTCTCCCTATATGATCTCATTTAAATTCACAGCATTTTTGTGGGGGATTGTTACCACCATTTTGTGGATTTGCAAATAAAGGCTGTGGGAGTTCAGGGACTTGGGGGAGTTAACACCTGGGATATTGCCACGAAGTACTGTGACTTCTCTGAAATCTTTAACAAAATCATCCTTATCACTAGAATGAAGTTCCCTAGAATTTAATAAGCTGACTTTGAGTGGACTGTTTTTTTTTTTAAATTTGAAATTAACAATTAACTTTCCTATTGCAAATTGGTGACACGCAGGGACTCTTGTAGTTAAATCAGAAGGAAATAGGCTTTTGTAGTGAGGTTAAAAAAATACTACTTAGGAGTCACATGGCTTTGAATAAGACACTGATCTTTTCCAAAGCCCAGTCTCTAAAAAAGGAATACAAGAGTGTCAATTCACTCTTCAGACATGGGTGGATGAAACAAACCATTACAGAGGTCTAAGTGTCAATCGCATGGTTAGTACTTAATAAAGTTTAATTCTGTCTTTCTTTTTATTTCTGGTCACAGTTTGAGTGTCCATCTATCATTGCACATTTTCTTCTTAGACATTCTGCTAACTTTCCATAGTAGTGTTCATAGTGATAATATTTACAGTGTAGTAGGATAACCCTGAAGGCTTGGGTTGAATCCCTAGCACCAAATACATACATGTATATGTAATAACTACCATTTATTGTTTTGCATATATTTTCTCTTTGAACTCTCAGCACAGCATTATGAGGACACCTTTATTACTAACACGCCTTGTTACAGAGGCGGCTACATCTAAAAGCATTAGCCTCAAGCAGCATTGTGTAGACACGTGTGGCAGGCTTCTAACTGGGGTGGTGAGCCAGAGGAGGCTGGAAGAAATGACTTGTGAGCTGAGCCTGGAAGCCTGAGCACTATGTTCAATGCCTAGTATGTATGTATGTATGTATGTATGTATGTATGTATGTATGTATGTATGAGGAAGATAGGAGACATAAGGAACCAACCCCATAAGCTCCTCATTCGCACACACTGAGGTATTAGGAGAACAAAGTTTGCAAGGTACCAGGTTTCTGGGTTGTTGGCATGGCTTGTGTCTACAGTTTCCACACTTGACATTCTGATGTCTCATTCTGGTCAGTGTTTGTTTAGTACCTAATACTATTTGATAATAAATCACATATTTAGATATTTGCTTGTTTTCTATTTTCTTCCAATAGAATGAACAAAACAAAACAAAACAAAACAAAACAACAGTGACAAAACCAACCAGGGTGACAAGTCCAGGGAGACTTTTGTTTTGTGCCCTGAGGAATCTCTTCAGGCTACTACTGGCGGTTGTAAAACAGATACAAATAATTTTAAATACATGAATGAATGAGCAGCTGCCCATCCTTTTTGAAATCTTAATTCACTTAACAAATATTTCCTGCTTATACCTACTGTGTGCCCAATAAGCCCTGGCAACAGAACAGGAAATTTCTGTTAAATATCTTAACCTCGGCAAGAAGTTGGGAAGGCGGAGACTGAATTGCTTGTGTTTGTGTCCCAGTTTCTTCATATGGCAGACATACAGGGATCTTTATTAGTTGGAAGAGTGACTCAGCCTGTGAGGACAGCAGAGTCAGTGTGTGCAATGGAGGAGATGGGACTGCATGGCTTCCACAGGAAAAGGTCATGCTTGTGAGCAAGCATAGAGACACTTCTCTTTAGTGATGGCGGAGACACGCTATGGGTTGTCTTTCATGGACTTTCATCTGACTCTAGGTCCTTTGAGGGCAGGCTCACACCTGTTTCTTTAATCTCAGTGTCATTAGCAGCACATGGCCTGGTGTACAGCACATGGCTGAGAGCAGTGGGAACTCAATCCATTTACTCACTATGTGAATGAATGGCTCCCAATGAGCAACTTTTACAAAACTGTCTATGACGAACTTCCTTGACCATTTTATCTTCCGAGAAGTACCTCTTTGTTAGCTTTGTGTGTGTGCGTGTCACAAAGGCTGTGGTTGTCCTTAAAAGCTCACTTGAACTTTCTCCTTCCCCTTTCGGGGCTTGCAAATTGAACACTCACCTAGCTGTCCATTTCCCAGTGAGCTGGCTAATGTTACAGGCCCTCCCATCCCCAGGTGGGTGATGGTACTTAGGTTTTGTCCTTTGGGTTTGAGTATTGGGCTGTGGGGTCAGTTTTACCCACCCACAGTAGTAGCTGAGAGAAATGCCAGCTTGTTGTCTATGTGGTTATTCAACATGACTGGACTAAGAAACATCTAGACTCAAGGGGCATTAGTGAAACACACCTTTAAATACATGGCTGTGGGAGTTTACAGGGAGCATAAACAGAGTAGGGCAAGACCCACTGTGAATGAGGGCAGCGCTATCCCATGGACTGGGTTACCAGGCTGAATAAAAAAGGAAAAGGGAGAAAACCAGCTGTACACCAGCAGCCACCTCTCTCCCTCTGTCTTTCCTTCCTTCCTTTCTTCCTTCTTTCCTTCCTTCCTTTCTTCCTTCCTTCCTTCCTCCCTCCCTCCCTCCCTCCCTCCCTCTCTTCCTCTCTCCCCTCCCCCTCCACTTCCTTCCCCCCACCCTCTGTCTCTCTCTTTCTTCTTTCTTTTTCTTCCCAGATGTGAGCAAGTTCCTGTTGCCACAGCTGCACAATCCTCCTCCCACCATGCCTTCCTTCCCCACCAGGATGGATTACAAACCCCTAAATGGGAGGCAAACAAATCTTTCTTCCCTGACATCCCTTGAACCAGGTGTGGTATCACATTATTCTCACTACAGTTTTGTGTAGAAACACACTGTGTGGGACTTTGCAGGCCCTAGAGTCACCTGCTTGTGTTCCAATTTCAGGTGCAGAACTTACTAGCCATATGATCTTGGTTCAGTTGCCGAATTTCATGCTTTATTGTTCTCACCAGCAAAATGGCTGTAATAACTGTATCTGCATTATCCGTATGTGTGTCTCACATGGAACAGTTCTAGTCATATAGATACTGAATAAATGTTAATTATTCAACCAAGCATCTATCAGTTATGTATTCATAAACTTTCCTGGTGTCTATTAGGGTGTAGGTAACTTGTTCAATGCTGAGCATACAGTAAGAAACAAGACACAATCACTCTCCTCAATTTGCTTGCTCTCTTAAATGAAGAGAAAAATAAGAGAAGGGGTAGTTATTGTGTAGTGGTTGAGTTTGGGAAGATGGGGTTTGAAGATGCCTTGGAAGCACACATTAAACTTTCTAATATTGTCCGTAGAACCAAGGGCTGGAGGACACAGTTCCAGCTGAGTCTAGAAGGCTGACTTGGCATTGAACACTGTAAGTGTTAGGGTGTGTAGTCAAGGGCAATCCAGGGAAAGGACTAGATTGTTCAAATGACTTCTAGAGGATAACAGGAGGGCTAGACCTTTGGTGCAGGTCTATGGTTTAGTCTGGCTCAGGTTCGAGTTGGGATGCAAGTATAACCTGAGGTGTGGATGGAGAATTAGAGACCGGATCAAACACTATACTAGGGGTCAGTGTTGTCCAGAATTTAATGTGTTGTCCAGAATTTAATTTAAAGCTTAGAGTTTTTATTGCTCTAGTAAAGTACCATGACCATAAAAAAATGGGGAGGAAAGAATTTATATCATTTTACAACTCTCAGATCACACACTCCTTCACTAAAGGAAATCAGGATAGGAACTCAAGGTACCTAGAGGCACGACCTGGAGCAGAAGCAATGGAAGGGTGCTGCTTACTGGCTTACTCCCATGGCTTGCTTAGTCTGCTTTATTATAGAACCAAACACCACCAGCCCTGAGATGGCTCTACCCACAGTAAGCTGGGCCTGTACATCAATCACCAATCAAGAAAATGACCACAGGCTTGCCCACGGGCCAATCTGAGGAAGGCATTTTCTCAACTGAGGTTCCTTCTTCCAAAATGATCCTAGTTTTGTCAAGTTGACATAAAACTAGCTAGCACAACAGTCCGTCTCAAAAGACTCTATGAGAGTCTGTACATCCATCAAGTGTGCAAGTGTGATTGCTGTTGGGAGGGAACATCTGAGAAGCATGAGGGGAAGATGCTGGAGAGGACTGGAAGCTGTTAGAAAGAAAAGAGGGAAATATGCAGGAGAAATCTAACGCATACCTCTCCCTCCTAGCTCAGACTTTGCCTTTCCCCGAGTAATCTGGGGGCATTCAAGTCTACTGCAAGAGTTCTTCCTTTGCCCATGGAGTGCTTGGCCCCAAAGTGGATGTTTCTCCCTGCTCTGAGATGACATCTACACTCGTTTTTGTGTTTTCATGAAAGATTGGCTCATCAGAATGCTTCTCAGAGCAGGTCAAGGAGAGCTCCTGCATCAGTATCATTTGGAGATGGTCATTGAAACTGTAGTCTCTCTTCCTCTATGAGCAGTGACAAGTGTGGACTGGTAAAGTTGTTGGAAGTAGTGGAGATGGGACAATGACATTTTGCAAACATCACAGTTTTAAGTAGTTCGGATTTAAGTAGTTCATACTGATAGGTGGTAAATCTGGGAGGATTTTTGTTTAGAATGGGATATTTTCTTTTCTTGGTTTTAAAACTTTAGTAGTCTTTTAATGGATGGTTATTAGAATGATAATTCTAGACACTTTGAGTCTGAATAGTCTGTCTCTTGACTGTGTTGATAATTAGCATCACCAGTGAGGGACAGATGGGCAGTGTGCACTTTTGATGTGATATGTTTGCAAACACGGTATTGCTAGTATCATATCACAGTTAGAAAATCACAACCTGGATGCATTCATGAGAAAATGTCAATATGAAGAACTTGGCCTTGTACCCTCAGCTTCTGGGAGCAAATCTGTGTCATATCTGATAGAAGTGTCTTTGTTCAGTGTGGGAACTAACAATGCCAGCCCTGTGAATAGGGTGGGAGTTTGGATCACATGCTATCACTTGACCTGGAGGTGGATTTCAGCTATAGGGCCAATCAATCAATGATGCCCAAGTAATGGAGACCAAAGCAAGCTGGACCCTGAGCCTTGAGTAAGGGTCCTTCACTCAACACTGGAACACACCAAGTTCCAGGAGCAATGCAAGCTGACTCCAAGGGAAAAGGTCCACAGAAATGTCAAGTCTGCAACCTCACATATATGCAGTAGCTAATTTTAGTGTGTGTGTTTCTTACAATAAATTGTAACGGAGTCTGATAGCTTCTGGTGAGCTCAGTGAGTCTTTCTTGAGAATCATTAAACCTTCCAAAAGTTTAGAGAACCCGAGTCTGGAGTTGGTATCAGATGTGAGAACAGCTCTGAAGACTACACCCTCAAAAGGCACTTAACTATGGGTAGGCAGAACATCCCAAGAGAAAAACTTTGTATCAAAGAAAGTAGATGGTACTCTTCAAAAACTATCATAAAAGGCAAAGCAAGGCTGAGCACCTCTCCTGGGTGAGCCAAGACTAAGGGGGCATGGTAGCTAAGTGCTAAGCATAAGCTTAGGTTGCATTTTGAATGGGAGACAAGAAAATCCTATAAAGGATGTTTGAATCCATCAGTAAAATTGAAAAACAGATAGTATATTGGAATAAAGAATTAGATCTATGCTAGACTGGCAGAAACCAGTTATTGTGGTTATACAGGAGAGCACCCTTTCTCCTCTTAGCAAACACACATAGAAGCATTTAGAGGTAAAGGGCCCTAATGCCTCAGATGATTTATAAAAATTATATATATAAAGAGTACACGATACAGCAAATGGCTCTAAATACCAACAACAGATGAGCCTGAATAAAGGATAAATGGATTTTCTTTGTGCTACATTGCAGCTTTTCAAATTATTTTTCAAACAAGGAGTTAAATAAAACCTAGGCCCTGAACCCAGCACTTAGGCCTTGGATTCTGAAAGCTCTTTCCAGCTAACTAGGGCTTCTGGGAGAAGGAGCTTATTCTAGGAGCAAAGCCAGAAAAGGATGGTGGAAGATGAGCTCATGGTGTCTCACGGGGCCAGGAAGTAGGGAAATAGTGAAGTATTAAAAAACAAACAATAGGGCTGGGAGGATGGCTCAGTGAAGCAGATGACAACCTGAGTTCATCTCCCAGACCCACACGGTGAAGAGAAAACTAACTCCCACAAGTTGTCCTTGGACTTCCATAAACATGCTGTGACCCCTACATACTCATACACATGCATGCACACATAGATACATGCATATAAAATAAATGAATTAAACAAACAACTAAATCAATAGGATATATCAAAGAGACATAAGCAAATCCAATTGCCCAAACTGTGATAATTAGTCAAACAGAATAAAATAGTGTTAGCCTGGAATACAAAGTAAAAGCTTTTGGTCTATGATAATGTACAATCCAATCCAATAAAGAAGTGGAGAAGAATTGCAGACAATTAACGTCGATACACTGTCCTGGTCAGGGATGGACGTCGCTTTACTCTTTAGGTATGAGCTATCCTTTGTGACTTCCGGCAAAGGTGGTGAGGAGTTGGATAGGAAAAGAGTGAGCGTATAGTAAAGCCAATTGCAAGTATGACATCAGCGAGGTGAACAAGGTCACCATCACCCATGGCCAATCAAGCCAGCACTACATGCCCTTCAAACGATGTGAAGGAAATAGCGCTCCAACCCCAGTACAACTTTGAGGAAGACTTGAGGCAGATTCCAGTCGAGGGGTACCCTGTGCAGAACCTGACCAGCACTCTTCAGCACTGTCAAGGTCATCCACTGGGGGAGTCCGTGGAACTGTCACAACCAGGAGTGATGTGCTTCCTTGAAAGGGATCTTGGCGCAGAGAAAGATGTTAAAGTACATCGAACTTGATGCATCCATTTGAACAAATGTGCTATTCCAATGTAAGATGACAGTGACAAGGGAAGCTGGCAAGGGCAATATGGAAACTCTGTGCCACTGTTTTACAGAAAAATCAAGAATAAAGTTGATTTTACAAGTGCTGCTGCTATTGGGCTAACTTCTGAGAGTAGGGTAGTAGCTGCACATTGTTGTTAGTGATTAAATGTTACCAAATGTCCTTTGTTGCTTGCTTGCTCCTCTGGCTAGACATGACTCTGTCAAGGTACTGAGAATTTGCCTCCTTCTCTAGCACCCTGAGCCGGCACAGAGCCTGGCCTGCCCAAGTGCCCAGAGACACCGAATGAAGAACGAGTCTCAGCAGCCTCTTTCACACAGAGAGGAAGAGTAAGTAGGACGGCATCCTTCCATGTTTACTTTCAAGGAAGCTTCATGGCCCAGTCCTTGTTATCTATCACGAACCAACAAATATTTACCCTGGGCACTGCGTCACATTGTTAATGATCCATCATTCCCATTGACCTGGTCCATGGAAAAGAGGCCTCCTGCTTTCCTGCTGCCCTAAGGAAAAGCCAAGCAGTATACAGAGGTTTAAAGTGCATGCTTGGGGCAAGGGCGTGCTTTCTGTTCTAACACCAGCTGAGCAGATCAGGTAGCAGAGCCAAGCAAAAGCCAGGACCACCTGCTGTTTATTTCAAACAAGCACTGGCTCCCTGGCTATGCCCAGACCCCGAGAACATCTGAGAAAAGCCCTATCAGGGCTGGTAGCTCCTCCTTGGGGCTTCCCCTAGTCGATCTCGGTTCTGCTCATTATCTTCCTGTGCTAGCTGCTGTGTCCTGGGCTTGAACTTTGACTGAACTGTAGTTCCTAAATTCAATATACCAGGTACAGCGTCTCTGCAAACTGAGCCTGTGTTAAAGATACTCGTTGTTGGGCACGGTTCTGAGGCCTCCAATTATGTTTTGCTTTTGGAAGGCCAGGTCCTGGAAATGATGCAATTCTCCAGAGCAGCTTTGGAAAAGGGCGCCCCTACAGGAGAAAGAATAGCAGTGCTCTCATTCTAGGTCAGGTGCTTTGCATGTATCATTCTAGTTCCCCTTAAAAACAGCCCCGTGGGGCAAAGGTGCTGGTGCATGTGTGCAATCTCAACTCTTGGAAGATGAAGCAAAATAATTGTGAGTTTGAAGACAGCCTGGGCTATGTAGTGATTTCAAGGCAATCGTAGGTTACACAGCAAGATCCTGTCCCCAAACCAAACCAAACAAAACCACGTCAGGCCTGGAATGAAACATTTTAAGTATATCCATTTTCCATATATGACACTGGTGCATAGAAAGCTCTGTCCCTGGGTGCTGATAATCGATAGAGATGGCTTTGGATGCAGGTAGTCATGAACCATCCTAGAAAGCAGGCAGGTATATGCAGTGATGGAGACCGATAGTGATTAATGAAATAGGAGGTGCATTTCTTTCCTAAAAGTCCAAGTTGTGTGAAGGATGGAGAGGTGGTGGGCAGAGCAGGTCTGGATATGAAGATTCATTTTAATATCTGTGCCTGTCTGAGGCCTCTTCTGGAGCAGTATTTCTTGGGTATGAGGTGGACTTAATCAGCTAGGGAATGAGTGTCTCTTTCTCTAATTTTCCTTAACTAAACTGATAAGCACTGGCATACAAGGCCTCCAGCTTTCCTGGCACCTTGCAAGATATCTCTGAGTCACTTTCTACACTCTTCTGGTATGCCCGTTGTGATGGGGAGCACACGTCACTGGTTTCTTTCCCTTGTCTGTTTCACTTCTTTAGGTGCCCCCAGTGTATCCTGTGCGTCCCCCACCCCCAATCCCACTGAAACCCTTATCTGCAGGGAAACTCACATGGAAACTTAGGGATAACTCCATAAACTTTCAGTATTCTGCATTCCCCAGGACACTGTCCTGGTCATTCTGGGTCAAAGTTGACTTGTCCCAATTTGTGCATTCTCTTACCCCCAAGAAAGAATAAGCAGAGAGCATAATCCAGAAATAGTAAGTCACTGTCTCTTATTTCCCATCAGCCATCATCAGGTCACGAGATCAGGCTTTGCTGCAAAGGAGTCCTTGTTTTCTGCTAAATGCAATAGTGTTAGTAGCCACAGCGCTGTGTTAGGCCCCTACAGAATAAGTGGTTAATGTGAGTTAAACTGTGAGGCTAGCCTGGCAGAGAAAAGAAAAGCCATGGGTTTTCTCCAGAGTCTTACTATGTAGTCCAGACTTGCCTTGAATTCACTGTAATGATTAATATTGATTATTCACTTGACAGGACACAGAAACAACTAGCAGACAATCACCTGTAAGTATGTAGATTAGGGACGGGTGGTGGTGGCCCATGCCTTTAATCCCAGCATTTGGGAGGCTGAAGCAGAGGCAGGAGGATCTCTGTGAGTTCGAGACCAGCCTGGTCTACAAGAACTAGTTCCAGGACAGTCTCCAAAGCCACAGAGAAACCAAACCTGTTTTGAAAAACCAAAAAAAAAAAAAAAAAGTATCTAGATTAGGTTATCATTTTGGCATGCCCACGAGAGATTATCTAAATTAGATTAATTAACGTGGAAAACCTTAACTTAGGTGGCATCATTCCAAGGGCAGGGTCTGGCCTGAACAAAGAGGACAAAATGAACTGAATACTACCATTCTTTGTTAGACCATTGTGGTTTAAAGGGGCCAGGCCCCTTTTGGAGCTGGCATCTGAAGCTGTAAGTGTTGTCCACAGTTTTGCAGGCAAGAAGAATATAAAATTGAGGAGGTTGTGGAGTTCTGTTTCAAGATTCCAGAGAATCACTGAGACTAGGCAGTAAGAAGCAAAAAGTCTACGAGAGGCCATTGTGTGAAGATGTGAAGGTGAACCCTAAGTTGAAATGTAGATTCTATGATGTTAGAGATGCCAGGATCATGGGACCATGCTACAGGCATGGAGTAGAGACGCCTTAAGAGAGAGTCTGTGTGTGTTGCAGGCAGCAGAACTGAGAATTGTGGCTACTCAAGCCCTCTTGAGTCTCAGTAATTCTACGACAAGCCCTGGATACCTGACATGGAACTGTGGGATCTGGTGATTGCCCTGCTAGGTCTCCCTCATGCTTTGGCCCAATCATTCTTTGCTATGACTTAGTCTTCATTTAGGGAAAGAGAATGTCTGCTTGGTGTCACTGTATATTAGAAGTGTAATTTTTTTCCCCAAAGGCTCACTGTTAAGAGGCTCCTGAGTTTTATAAGCGATTGCACTTAGCCTTTTATCAGGGTTGGAACTACTAAAGACTATGGGGACAGGTGGCTGACCTTTGCAGAGATCTGAACCTGTTGGGACACTGCAGTGGAGTGCTGATGAAGTAGTTAACTGAAGACCAGTTACATCATGATTGATATGAGAGCTGAACAGCACAGCACCCTAAGGATGGCATTCCAGTTTCAGGCTGGGTTCTTACACTCTGTCCATTGGTGGCTGAAGCTCTTTCCCTCTTTCAGCTCAACCTAAAGGCCATTAGATTGTGGGATAATACTCTGGTTCACTGTAAAGATTTGCCACACATATTGGTTTAATAAAATGCTGATTGGCCAGTAGCCAGACAGGAAGTATAGGTGGGGCTATCAGACAGAGAGAATTCTGGGAAGAGGAAGGCAGAGATACAATCATCGGCCAGGTGCAGAGGAAACAAGATGAGAATGCCTTACCAAGCCATGTGGCTAAACATAGATAAGAATTATGGGTTAATTTAAGTTGTAAGAGCTTGTTAGTAATAAGCACGAGCAATAGACCAAATAGTTTATAATTACTATAAACCTCTGTGTGTTTATTTGAGACTGAAGGGCTGAAGGACAGGGTGGACAGAAACTTGCATTTACATCTCTATGTGTGAAAGTGGGTTTTCTATGCCCAGAACCCTCAGTTGACAACAGAATGACATCAGGTAAGTTGCTGTTTGTAAACCAGGAGATTCTGATCTTTTGTTGACTTGAGTAGGAGCCTTTGAGATGGATTAAATGAAAGCAGTTTATACTGTGGAGAACACAGAGCAGATTCAGAAATTGGGGTGGCAGACCTCCAAAGAGGAGGCATGCCAGAGAAAGACATCTTCAGAGAGAGAGCATTTAGCAAGGTTTTTATTGTAGTTAGTGTATTTGCTGAAGAACTCAAACTTTGACACTAAGGAAGAACTCCAGACCATGCTGTCCCATATACTTGACTGTGTGACCTTAGATATTGCTCAGCCTCTCTGGGCCCCAAATGCCTCTTCAGGGAAGAAGAGATACTCATCTTTCCCTTACAGAGATGTGAGCATTGTGTGAGAATCACTGGAGTGCTAGGCACAGTGCCTGGCATACAGTGGTGCTTAATAAATGCAAATTCCCTTCACCTTTGGACTTTGCTTAAGAGAGATCAGAGGATCCAGCAGACCCTGTTGGCTTCAGGAAATAGTTATTACAGAGAAGAAGAAAATCATTCCCTCTGATGTTTGGAATTTGATAAAGAGAACCTGAGTGTTTGACCCAAATCTCTTTTACCAGTTATATTGTCACAGTCTGGTCATATCCTTTCTCAGAGCCACTTGCTAGAATGCCAGGTGGAGGTGGCTCTTTGGAAACACAAGGCCAAAGTGAAAGGGTGATTTTGGAAATAAAAGATGGGAAGACATCAGTGAAATAGCATTTCCACCCCTGCCTCAGGGTAACGACTCTAAAATCGAGGGGAATGGATCCAGCAGGAGGAGAGAGAGCCCCGGTGTGCGGTCCACATGCCTGCTGCATTTTATAGTGGTTCTCTGCTTGCCATCTGTTTGTGATGGTCTCACTTAGCCATGGGGCTTATGCAGATGCATCTGCGTACATGGATGCCTTTACTCAGCAGATATGAGGATGAGGGATGCACATGGCCATCACCAAGTGGCTCACAGGCTCTCTGTGCTTCCCTCTGCTCGGCTTTCTCTTCTTTGTCTTTCAATTTCACTTATTTCACATTTCTCAGTCATCCATATTTATAACAAAGTGAGAAAAAAGAAGGCTCTAAAGTGTAGGGCATTTCTATATTGTGTTAGGCATTCATGGACACTTCCAATTTAATGCTCTATATCACCATTACCATGTAGGATAGGCCCAAGTATTCCCCGTTTTGCTGATGAAGAACACAGGCTGGCATGAAACCGCCTGTCTAGTTCATGAACTGGGGAATGGTGGCACTGGGAGTGAGCGCTGTCTAACTGTAGAACTCTGCTATTGGATTGATGACAACCGTGAGTAGATAGCTGGGTACGGAGACACATGCTGCAGTCCCAGCATTGAGGAGGCAGAGGCATGAGGATTATAACAAGTTCAAGGCCGACCTCCTCTGCACAGAAAAGCGAAGCTGGTCAACAGACAGTTCCAGGCCAGACATGATTCCCCAGTGAGGCCCTGTGTCAGAATACCAATTAAACAACACACACACACACACACACACACACACACACACACACACCTACCACCACAACTGCTACCAACGCCCTGTGTCAGAATACCAATTAAACAGCACACACACACACACACACACACACACACACACACCTACCACCACAACTGCTACCAACGACAACAACTAATTGTACCTTTCAGTTTTTCTTTTCTTCTGTTACACGTGATCTATCTCTTCTTCAGCAGTCTGGGTGGACTCCCCTTCTATGCTAAACGATGAGCTCCCTCTCGTGGCCAAGTGTGGTTCTGCAAGCCCTCAGTTATTGGAGGACACAGGTCAATGTGGAGACATTTTCTTCTCAAAGAAGTAGTTTTGTCTACCAATATATTTCTGTGGATTTCTTACCACAATAGAGTCCAAATCTGGGTTTGCCTCCTCTGAAAATTATCTGTAGTAGAAATGGCAACCCCTATCTCCTAGGGAAGCCAGAGAGACAACTAGGTTCACACTTTCATAGAACTCCAAGTGTTTCCCATCTTAACTGAAGACTTTTCATTACACCGTGAGTGTCAGGTGTCTCTTATTTACAGGAGAGTGAGCCAGGAAACAGGGATAAAAGTGACTTATGAACAGTCATTCTTACCTGGAACTTGACATTTCAGCCTAAGGTCTGCTATGCTGTGGGACCCTTCCATCCCCAAACCACACTCTCATCCTGGTGTACTATCTTCCAGTGAGATGGAAGGTGGGTGACCGTGGCAACGATGTACACATGGCACGAGGCAGGTTACATTGCTTCCTGCCACACATCTATCCTCCTCTGCTCCATCCTTACCCAGGAAGATTAAAACATAAAGCAAAGGGTCTGTCAGCTTTTTGCTTTAAACCCCACCTCCCCCCAGAATGCAAAGGCTGAAATCCAAACTCTTCATCTTGGTAGGCAGTGTCTTTAGCCATCTGGATGTGGCTTACCTCCCCAGGCTTCTCTCCTACACTGCAACTCCTGGGGGACTTATATTTCTATGGCTGCCTTCCAATATCAGCTCCTGTACCACCTCTGCCACCAGGAACAATTCAATTGTCCTTCCTACTCCAGGTGAGATGGTATCTCCCTCGGGAGGATACTGGAAGCCCATGGTTTATGCTTTCTAACCCTCCCTCCGTACCTTCCTTGTTTCTTAGTTTGTGATGTTCAACAGCCCCTTCCCCGGCTGCTGGCTTAGTTTATCTCTGGACCTTCGATGTCCTAGCCTAGCTGCTGGTACACAGCTCAGTTCACTAATGTTTGGTGAATGACTTCAGTAAAGGTAAAAGGGAATGCTCTGGGAATTGTAATAAGAATCAAAGACACTTGACATATTAAGATTTCGTTAAATGGGGTCTAAGGCAACTTGACAATTTGTAATGGAAATTTATTGCTAGCCCATGTTCCAGTGTTACCAGCTGTGATGGTAAAAAAAAAAAAAAAAAAAAAAAAAAAAAAAAAAAAAAAAAAAAAAAAAAAAAAAAACAAACAAAAAAAAACAACCCTAAACCAAAACACAATAAGGGCCACTTGGCATTTGCTTAACTCTAGGATTTTTTTTTCCTACTGCCTTGCCTTTCACAATTCTTTTGAGCATCAGAAAAAGAAGGAAGCTGTGGTTTCTTGAGTAACACAAGTCTTGGAAACTTTGGGGCTTTTATAGCACAAATAAGAATTAGTTGACCGCAGCAAGAACGCACTGGGGGCTGGGAGATAGCTCAGAGTAGAGTGTTTAGTGTTTGTGTAGCATGCACAAGGACCTGAGTTCCATCCCAAGTGCTCTATAAAATTGGCCTAGTGGCTCATACTTACAATACAAGTACTCAGGAGGCAGAGGTAGGACTATCACAAGTCCAAGGCACATAGGGAAGTTCAGCTAGCTAGGGAACCAGAGGCTAGTTCTGAGTAAATGAGATGGTTTAAAATGGGGCATTTTCATAGGGGCTTTCCAATGTCCCTTCTCTGCAGGCAAGCCCAGATCCTATGGGAGCTGGTACTGTTTGGATCTAGAGGACCATATTTAAGTCTTGAGCATGTCCCCGCTTGGCTGGGCCCTGAACTCATGCCATTCCAAATGTTAGGAAAGTACTGTATCACCCAACTATACATCTGAGTCCCTGGTTTCCAGTATTTTAATCACCAGTTAGAAAATCTTCCTGTTAGTGTCTTTGACTCCTAAAACTTGTCTGAATCATCAAGTGTCTGCCACAAATCCACTGACTACAGCTCATTAGTCATTAGTAAAATACCAGCCTGAACTCTGTCCCCTTTAACATCACACTTACCAACTGTTGACATGAGGAACATGAAGCCTTCTTCGCCTCTCTCCTTGAAATCTTCCCTCACCACCAACTCTCGAACTCCTCTGTTCACAGACATAGCTAATGGCTGCCCCTGAGCCATCTCTGGGCAGGTTGGAGGTCTGCCTGCAGTGTGGGCTGCACACAGATGTCTCTGTGAGTGTGAAACGGGACATAATGCCTGCCAGCCACACACTAACAGGAGCCTGTCACATCTTCCTCTGGTGGGAGATGGCCAAGCTGGAAAGAACTATGGTAATGGAATTAAAACCACCCAAGCTCCCTGCCTCACAAAGTCCGTGGTGTTTGTTCCTGCATTCTGACAATGTCCTGATGCAGAGCTTCTTGATGAGGTGGACATTTTGATTGTACTCTTCTCTGATGAATTTTTAAAAATGATTTTTGTTTCTATTTTATTTTATTTTAGTTTTTCGAGACAGGGTTTCTCTGTGTAGCTCTGGCTGTCCTGGAATTCTCTCTGTAGATCAGGCTGGCATTGAGCTCACAAAGATCTTCCCACCTCTGCTTCCCAAGTGCTGGGATTAAAGGCGTGTGTTACCACCACTCGGCTGTTCTTTGCTGAATGTAATGATGTTTCATTTAATTTGCAAATTGTCTGTTTTAAGCCAGGTGTGGTGGTGTACGCCTTCAATCCCAGCACTCAGGAGTCAAAGGCAGGTGATCTCTTAGTTTAAAGCCAGTCTGGTTTACAAAGTGTGTACCAGGACAGCCAAGACTGTTACATAGAGAAACCCTGTCTCAGAACTGCGCCCCCCCCACCAAAAAAAATTCTTGACCTGCTTTAATGGCTAGAGAAGAATTCTCTTACACAGAAAGCTACTGATTTACCCAGTTACCTCCTAATGTTGGACAGGTAGGCTGTTCTCAGATTTTGTTTGTTGGATGTTGTTACATCTTGCCTAGACTAGGAATATGACGCTTGTCACAAGGCCTCTGATGGATATGGTACAATCAAATGCTTGTTCCCCACATGGCCAGCAACTGCAACCAGGCACTGGCCTGGCTCTGTCTCTGTCATGGCTTTGACATACTCCAGTGGGTCTGAAGGAACCTTTGTACACTTGTTCTGGTACCAACAGACCCTAGGAAAGACTTGGCTCCTAAGTGCCCATAGAATTCACATCAAATACTGCATTTTGTATCTAGACTCTTGCTCTGTTTCTCATTTTTTCTCGGTGTCTTGACCCTGACTCCCTTAATTTAGACCAAGGAATACTTGTGTGGTGGACATGACAGTGGTCACCCAAATAACTTCAGGCAGGAAGTGTGTGGGTTCCTCAGTGGCTCAGGGAGCTGTTTGTAGACAACTCTACAGAAAATGCATTTATTGAACATAGGATGCAATTTCTCTCTCTCCCTCTCTCTTTCTCTCTCTCTCTGCTTCATGCTTGTGGGCCAAGATATGATCTCTCAGCTTCTTGTCCCTGCCACCATTGTCTGTTGCTTGTTGGCGTGCCTCTGCTCTACCATCTGGACTCTGATCTTTCTGGAATCATAAGCCCCAACAAACTTCCTCATCTTTAAATTGCCTCTGGGTATGGTGTTTTAATCACAGCAACTGGAAAGTAACTAATGTAGTCATCCCCCCAAGGCTGGATTCCGCTGGCCCGAAACATCTGGTTCTCTGTCTCTTCAATATGAGATGACTCTAATCATCATCAATGCGTGCCAGGAGGCTATCTGAGGCCTGTGTCAAGCCTGAGTTGCAACCTTCTGCCTCACCTCTACTTCCTTCCCTCCTTGCTTCCATGGACTTCCATGCTGCGATGGAGAAAAACATGTCCACAGTTTCCTCCACTCAGATCTCCATCCAGCATCTGCTGCTCTTAGAAGCCAACCACTGACACCAGTCCTCACTGCGAGGGCACAGCTATCTTCTGCAGTAGCTGGCTAAACCTTGGCATGTGATGCTGGTGGGCTGTTCTTCCCTTTCCTGAGCCCTTGTGTGGGAGGCTGCTGCAGCCCTGGCCTCTTTCGATGCTGTCCTCACATAAGTTGGGGCACCACTGATCTCTGGTTAGGGCAGCTTCCAGCTCTTCTCTGGGTTGATTTTCATCTCCGTTCCTGCCCCCCCTTTTTGAGACAGCGTTTCTCTGTGTAACAGTCCTGGCTGTCCTGGAACTCAATTTGTAGATCAGGCTGCTTCAGACTCACCGAGATCCACCTGCCTCTGCCTCCCAAGTGCTGGGATTAAAGGCATGCACCACCACAGCCCAACCTCCACTTCCTTCTTAAAACTCCACAAAGATCCACTGAGTTCTAGTGCCAGGGAGATGAGGATGTGTGTATGAGCACATTCCTTCCTTGTCTCTCATCCTTCTATACCTCGCCCTGTCTTCACTTCCTGGTGGGGACATAACTGTCTCCCTTGTGGCCACATCCCATGGTCACCTTTCTACTCTTGCCCCTTTGCTCTCTTCCACATGACAGCCAGGAACTTCTAAGACTCACACTTACTCTTTGGCATGAAATTCCCTTACCTAAAGGATACCATTGACTCTTTATAATTCATATGACAACACCCAGACTCTTAGGAGAACACAGGTGAGCATCCGTGGTCCTGAGCCACTTCCCTTTATGGTGCCCATGGCCCTGAATGTTCCTCTGGCATTCTGCATACTGTAAGTGCCTGCAAGCTTGCAAGGATCTGCTGGAGGCCATTCCTTCTGCCTACAGTGCTTGTCCCAAAGTTCTCTACACGTGGAATTGCCCTTCCTTCCAGATTTAGATCAATTGTTAGCCTTTCCAGGAACACTTTTTGTGAACTTCCAGGCAGAGCTAAGAAGCCCTTCTCAATGATATAAATAGTATGCATTATTACCACTTACCTTTATTACTTAGTTGAGACTTCTCTCAAGTACCTTGTGTCTTTTGAAGGCAGCAAGCAAGTCTTATTTTGTACCTTGGAACTCCAT